GCACCAGCCGGATTTGTCTCAATAACAAAAACTTAAAACCAAAAGGCTTCAACTTCCCAAACATCCATAAGAAAACCTGCTTTATTTATGATTTTTATAACAAATAAACCCACTTTCCTTGCGATGAACATCCGGGCAAATCACTGCTCCACAGAGCAAGGCTTTGCAGAGACAACTGTTTTGGAGGTGACTGTGCCCTCCAGCTTTGCCAATCCTGCTTCCCATCACTGGGATGGGCTTGGGAGCTGCCCGGCTCCAGACCGGGAAGTGGCTGGTTCCTTGCGGGAATCCTCAGCATTCCTGCCAGCTCTGAGAATGCAATGCCATTTTCAGGCCTTTTTTGGCCAGGGGTGGCCTTGGTGCAGGTCCCCTGAGCTCCAATTCCCCTGGAATTTTTAAAAATAACAGCAAAATATTCCTGAGCTCATGCCAGTGTGGGGCTATTTCTGGAAGGAGAGAGTTGCTGGGCACTGCCAGGGAGATGTGGGGGCACTTTTGCCCTCGCCAGGGTCCCTCCACAGCATCTTCCTCTGGGCAGAGGCATCTTGAGCATCCCAGTGCTTAAAGCTCATCCCATGCTGGATCCAACCCTCTCCCAGGACTGCCACGAGAATCCCATTCCTGAAATAGCCCCCTTATCTGAGAATTACTTACATAAATATATAAATTTTGGGATCTGTCAAAAGGGTGCTGTTGATGGGAGCCAGATCCAGAGTTTGCCTTGGAAAACAAACAAATCCAAACTCAAAGGGAGCATGAGGAGGGAAAGCTGTGCCGAGGAGCCGCGGAAATGTTCCATGTCACATTATCCAGGATTAACATTCCAGATCGTCTGCAAGGATGGAAAGGTTTTATCCTAAAGATTCAATTAAGGTTCCTCAGAGCCTGATCCATCCTGGGCGGGACTGGGGGGATCCATAAAACTGCACAGCAGCAAGAGGCAAGAGTATCCCCAGAGATGAGGGATTTAGGGTCATAATTCCTGAGGGAGAGGTAAAGCATTTCCATGGGTATCCCATCTTGAGTGCATCACCCCCAGCCTGGCATCAGCTCAGCTGTTGAGGAGCTTCTGCTCATGGAAAACAGTGAATTAATGGGATTTAGGGGGAAGAGGAAAGAGGTTGGATGTAATCAGACCCAATTAGTGGATGGGTCAATAAGAGGAGAGGTCGTGGGATCACTGGTGGTCCCCAAGTCCCGTTGGTGGATCAGATCCCACGTGCTCCTTGTTTGGAGGATCCCACTTGCTCATCCCCCATTACTGCTCCTGGAACCTTCCACCAATAAGGGTTTAAATTAGTCATTTATCAATTACATGTAAGGTTTGGCAACTTAAAATCTGTCCTCTTGTTTAATTAATAGGGCAGCTTTATATTTGGCAAATTAGGGAGACTCTCAACGAGCTAATTTGTTAATTAAGGGAAGCCTGGAGGCTCTTCCTTCATTAGACTTTGGCAAATCCTTTAATCCAAAGTGTAGCTCCTCCTTTAGGACTCCCAGGCTTAGACCAGGGAATGGCCCTGGCAGCGACACTTGCCATGGGAGAACTCCTGGAATGGCCCTGGTTTCCTGGGATTTATGGCAGCAGCTTATTTCCCTTCCCCTTCCTCTTCCTTTGGGAGGATCTCTGTTGAGGAAGAGCGTGAGATCCCACAGCCACGGCTGCTGCTGCCAAACAAAGCCCAAAGCTGCCTCCAGGAAGGAAAGAGAGAAATACATTTATAAAAAAAAGAAGGGAAGAAAATCTTCTGGCCCAGTTCAGAGGGAAATTTCACTTCATTATTTAGGACAGAGCTCCCTGTGAGCAGAGTTAATGAGATAATTAACGTTAATTGGGGGTGATGGTCAGGGTGTCTGTGCTGTGGAGAATGGGGGGGAAATCAGTGGCGCTGCTGCCGGAGGGTAGAGGATCCAGAGCTCATCCCAACAGATCCAAGTATCTCATGTGCCCCCTCGTGCCAGGCAGTGCCCACCCTGCCCATGGCCAAAGCCACTGACTCCCAGGGCAAATAATCCTCCAGGTATATCCAGGCTCACTGGATCAGCCCTTTCCCCCATCCCAGGTTGTAACAGGCACAGCCACTCCCAGCAGCCCCCTCCCACTTTGCTTCCAGTACAAACCAGTAGGTGCCAAGGCTGGGTGGGCTCCACTGACCTGCTCCAAATGATGCCACCAAGAAGGATCCCAAAAAAAAGCATTAGAACCAACCCCAGGGAGAGCAGGACCAGTAACACCAGTAAGAGCAGTACTGACCCGTGTGGGCAATCACACCACGTGCCTCGGGATGAATACCCCGTTATGGATGCAGTGCTGCAAATCCTGCTCCACGTTAAAAAGCCAGGATAGTGATTTCCCAGGGTTGCATGATGGACCATATCCCTCCAAACCAGATTATCCCAGACCCGATGGAGCAGCTCACTCCCTATTTTTAGCCATTGGTGCCTCTGCACTGGCCAGCAGGTTATCACATAAACATGGGAAAGCAGCCTGCCAGGAGAGGACCCAGAGACTCCCTTATCCTTGGTTTTAATGTATTTATTTTCAGCCTCTAAAAAGAAACACCAGGTTTGCTTTATACTGCACAAGTTTGCCAAGTTTCCAGCTTTCACTGGAACTTGTCCACTGTGACAGGTCTGGGACACGCAGGGAGCAAGCAGAGAGGGCAGAGATGGCTGAAAACAGCAATAAAAATATCACATTGAATGGCAAATGCCTGATTTATTTTCCACATATTTGGCCAAAAAAATAAGGTTGCTGTTGAAGCTGCCTGGATTTGGGTGCCTTTTGCAAGAGGACATGGATGGTTTGTGCTCCAGTGCACTGGCTTCGGAGTGTTGGCCACACGCTGGAGCTCAGGCTGGGTAAAAGCACACTTGTATTTGGAGCTATTTGGATTAATCATGGATTAATTGAGGTTGGAAGGGGCCTTGGAGATCCTGAGGTCCGAGCAGACAGCTCAGGACTTTCTCCAAGTGAGTCTGAGCATCCCAAGGATGGAGATCCCACCACTGCTCTCACCCCTGACCTGGGCTGACTCCTCCACTGCAAAGGGGTTTTTCCTTATTCCCAGTGGAACATTTCCTCCTGCCATCTTCCTTTTGCCTGTCACTCTGTGCCTCCAAGGACAGTGTGGCTTCATCTTCCCTACACCCATTTCCAGGGAATGGCAGCATCTTCAGGTGGGAGATTTATTGCTGTGCTGATGGAGCAGGGCACAGCATCCCACAGCACCCTGCTCTGCTCCCAGGCCATCACAGGCTGCCAAAGCCAGGGAATTCTCTCCTTCATCCCAAAGGATCCATGGGAGCTCCAAACTCAGCACCTCTGTCCCTCCATGAGCTCCTCAAATCCAAGGAGTCACCAAAAAACTGCTCCCTGATCTCCTTCAGTGACAGAATCCCGTGTGTTTTGGGATAAAGTGCACTCAGCTATTTTCCCACCTATATTTCCTCCCACTCCAGCCTCAGATCAATAAATTAATTCCAAATCATCTAACGAGCCCTCAGCCTGTAATTTGTTTTTCATAAGTGTAAATCCAATTCCTTCCCAAGGCTGTGCCTTTGGGACCCTCACAAATTAGGGAGCTGCTCGAGACACTTCGCTGGCATTACTTAGGCAGAGAACATTGCTCTGAAAATAATAATAATCACACCAAGCTCTTTCTAAAGATGGTTTTCAGGGCCCCAAAACATGTTTCATTTTCTTTGTTCCTCCACTTTCCCTATTTCCAGCGGTGCCTGGGGGATCATCCCGAGCAATTCACTCCAGTCTTTAATAGCCACTATAAAATGAGGCTTGGAGAAGCCTTAAGCTGATGTGGCTTTTATTGTGATCCAGAATAATTCTTATCAGGGGAACAGCTCCTGCTTGAGCTGTCCTGGGCCTGTAAAACACACACGGACTTCAAGCCAGGGCCTTTAATTCCCGCTCAAGTTGTGGCGGCTTCGCTTTGGTTTGGAGAGCAAAGCAGACTCTGGGAAACATAAAGAGCCAATTTCAGGCTATTTTAAGCTTCAAAACAAGAAATACCACAACTTCTCCAATGTCTCCACAAGCCAAGGGTTGCTCAAACTCAGGGCTTTGTCAGGAAAATCAGAAAGGGAGAGGGAAAGGGGCAGGAGTGTGGCGCAGTTGGAGGCCACAGTTAGATGGGATACTGGGAAGGAATTCTTCCCCTTGAGGGTGGTGAGGCCCTGGCACAGGTTGCCCAGAGAAGCTGTGGCTGCCCCATCCCTGGAAGTGTTCAAGGCCAGGTTGGGGTTTGGAGCAACTTGGGATAGTGGAAGGTGTCCCTGCCCATGGGAGTGGAAGGGGGTGATCTTTAAGGTCCCTTCCAACCCAAACCATTCGATGATTCTGAGATTCAGGGAGGGCTGGGGGAGCTCCCTAACAGCCTGGAATTCTGAGCTCTGGTGTTAAAGCATTTACAAAAGATCACAAAGATCTGCTCATCCCGGTGAAATAGAGGGAAAACAGACTTTCAGGAATCAAAGGCCAATGCACGCAGCAGATGTGTCAGCACTATAATGCAAAGCAAGGCTTTCAGAACCCTGATTTCAACTTTGCACAAATTAGACAATAAAATTAACTCAGTTTCATGCCATCCTTACCAGCTGTCAGCTCGGGAGTCACCAGAGACTAAATGCAATAACAAGAAATTGAACACAGGGAAGTTTGGGCTCTGCAGAAGCTGGTTGGGAACAGGCTCATGCTCTGGGAAGTCAAGCTGCCCAAGATGGAACACCAAACTCTGACGGCAGAGGAGTCTCAGGGAAACACCTGCAAATAAAATAACCCTGAAAGATGAGGCTCTGACAGTCCCAACATTCAAAAGTTCACATGGGAGCTGCTGTTTGCTGTCACTGATCTCACCCAGGTGCCACCGCGCTGGGCTGGGCTTTGGGCTCACCTGGCAAGAGCTGATCTTACCCATAAACAGTTGGAATTGCAGCCCCTGGAGATGAGCACCAGGCACGGAAGGAAGTCCAAGGAGGGAGGGAAGACCTGGAACTTGGCCTGGAAGGCTGCAGGGGTGAGATCCGAGAGCTAGAAAACAGGGAAGAAGCAACAGTGAAAGGTTTCCTCACTGCAGGTTTGGACGGATAACCTGAGCTGAGGGAGGAGGAACCAGCCTGTGCGTGTGTGTTCCAGCTGGGCTGGATTGATTTCCACAGCTCTGTGTTGCATTCCTGGGAAAAGGCTGCACCCACATCCCACAGGATTCCCACGAGGCCTGGACAGACTTGGCACAGGAGCATCAACACATAGCACTTGGCTTCTCCCATCCCTTCACCTAGCCTGAACAGGAACCTGCTGCAGCCCATTCCAGCATCATTCCTTGTGGGAAAAGCAGCCAGAGGCTCAGGGAGGGACAAGGAGCCCGGCACCTGCACAGGGAGAGCACACGGAGCTCCCTCACAGTGCTCACCTCAGCAGCACAGAGGGATCCACACACAGCTCCTGCTCCAACTCAGCCTCTGCCTGGTGAAGCCACAAAGCCCAGCTGAGAGATTTAACATTACATTTCCAAAGTAATGAAATCCAGGGAAATATTTCACAGCTCCCGGTTTTGAGGAGCACTGGAAGCACCTGATAAAGGTGGAGTTATGCTGCTGGTGACAAACAGGGGCTGTTCCCTGCTGGCAGGGGGAGAGGGAGCCTGGGTTTTAATTTGGAGGAATTCCAGAGGATCCATTTTATCTCTCAGCAGGCAGGAAAATTAGCAGAGCACCACCGAAAGCTGGGAATGACACATGCTCTATCTTTGTAATTCCAAGGCAGTGCCTGAGCTCTGCTAGAACAGCAGAGGTTTGCAAATCCTTTTCTTCCACTTGCTTTACAAATCTCTGTTTTCCAACTTTCCAAGTGCAGGTGCTGAAGGAAGAGTTGTGCAGAGCCTCTGAGATCAGATCTCCTCACTGTTACCAACCACAGAGGTGCTTTATGGCTGCTAAAGGATCATCCACCTGCTTTGATTTGGATTCTTAACAATCAGCACATAGAAAGAGCCATTTGAATATCCAAGGTTCTGGGAACCTTTGGAAAATTAGATCCATAGAAAAGCAAAACTAAAGCGGCAGTGGTTCCCAAGGTCTCTGCTCCAGACTTCCTGTTTCTCTTCCTGGGATTTAGGAGCTTAATTGAAGGCTGCATTCAGGATTATTCCCATTACAAAATCCTGGCTGAAGTGTTGGGAATTAGCCTGGGATCAGGACATCCTGGCCTCCAGCAGCATCCCCAGCACCTCTGCCAGGGCACTGGTGTGTACCCAGCATCCCTGAGCTGCAGTTGCCATGGTGACCGAGCATTGTCCCCTCTCCTGGCAGGAAAAATATCCCCTTTCCTTTAAGGAAGAATGTCCTTCCATATCCCTCCACAGCACAGGGCTGACCCAGACCACTCTCAGGTGGCTCTCTCCTGGCCTCATCCTACACCCAGGACATCCTGGTCTCCCAGGCCAAGCCAGGCAGGACAGGGACTGCTGCCCATGAGGAATTTGCTCCAGCTGGACACCGCTGGATCCATTCCCAGCAGCCAAAAACCTCCTGCAGCTGAACATCACCAAGGAAAAAAAGCACAGGCAAGAGTAACAAGGATCCAGTCATTCCCAGATCTAGACAGGGCGGGGTTTAAAGTGAAATCCAAGGAGGGAAGAGCCTGAGGTTGTCCAAGACTGTCAGGTGGCCTTGGAGCCACCACTGTCTCCACTCCAAGACCGTCAGTGGCATCGGTGCCACCACGGGATCAGCAAGAAGTGCCACCTCTGAGTGTGTTTCCCTGCCCTCCCAAATCTCCACAGGACCCCCGCTGAGCTCTGACAGCTTCCAGGACCTAAGCAGGGGGCGAGCTGAGAAGCTTACAAGGGAAAATAGCTCCTTTTGTAATCTGCTCCCACAGCACACCCACCTTCAGCCTGTTTTAGCCTCCTCGTCCTACATTCCAGCCCTGGAGATGGGAAGTGTGAGGAGTTGTGACTGTTAAATGATGTCTCACATGAAGGGGTCTCCCAAAAGGGTGGCTGCTGCAAGAGAGGTCTCCACCCTTCTCTGCCAGGCTGTCCTGATCCCACTGCTCCTCTGGCACCTGGAAAAGATCATAGAATAATGGAATCACAGGATGGTTTGGATTGAAAGGGACCTTAAAGATCACCTCATTCCATGGGCTGGGACACCTTCCACTATCCCAGGTTGCTCCAAGCCCCATCCGACCTGGCCTTGGACACTTCCAGGGATGGAGCAGCCACAGCTTCTCTGGACAACCTGTGCCAGAGCCTCACTACCCTCACAGGGAGGAATTTCTTCCCAATATCCCAACTAAACCTCCTCTTTTTCAGTTTGAATCCATTCCCCTTGCCCTGTCACAAGCAGGGAAGACCAGGAGGTTGTTTCCCTCTAGGTAGCCATTAGAAACCCAGATGGCTCATCCTTGCATGGGATCCTAAGCAGGTTTCCCTGCTCTCCAATGTGTCAGAGATCAAGGAATCTCAGTGCAGGGGGGTGGACACTGGGAGCCTACATGGCCACTAAATCCCTCTTAACAAACATCACTTTTCATTTCATTTTTAGCAAACAAACATGACATTTCATTTTTAGCTGATTTTCCCCCTCTTCACTCAGCCAGAGGAGCAGAGAGGTAAAAGCAGGAGATAACTGAGCATCTTCCCCTTGGGAGCCCTCATTATCCCAGGAGGCCTCCACTGCCTCAGGGAATCAATTAAACAGACTGGAGCTGGGATACCCGGCACTTCACAGGATCAAAACCCAGAGAGACACGATGAGGCAATTTCCCTCCTGTCACTGACATGCAAATCATTCCTGCAGCAGCTCCTGGGTTTAATATATCTCCAGATTGCCTGGCATGGAGTCCCACTGCCAGTTCCACCTCTGTCCCTGCCTGGGGACTCTCTGCTCCCTTTAGAGTGTCCCACTGCCTTCCAGACCCTCGCACCAGCAGCCACACATGGCTGACTGGAAAACCACTCTGACCACAAATGCAGTAATGAAAGAGCTTTTCCCCCACACAGATGGGACTCCTTGTTCCCTTTTCCCCACTAAATCGCTTTCCTCATTATACCCAGACCCTGCAGAGTGGCTTTGCTGGGCCCTGCTGGTGCGATGTGAGAGCAGCCCTGTCCCAGCCCAGCACTGCTCTGAACGTCTTCCTTTTGTCCATTTATTCCCAGTGCCACAAACCAATCTGTCTGAGAAGCTGGTTCCTCATTATTCCTGAGGAGATCCAACAAAGCCCTGTGTTCCTCACCCTCCAGGAGCTTTGTTTGGAGCTCTCTGTTCCCTCTCTTTGTGTTTGCAGATGAGCTGTAAGTGGCTCCCGTAGCCTTGAAGCCCCTCGTTTGCAGTCAGGAGCAACAACCATCATGGCTCGATCCAGCTCCTGATTTTGGCTTATCCTTCCCTTTTCTCTTTAATTAAAAATCCCTCTGGCCTTGCACTCGGATTTTGGGATGTGGTTTCCCGTTGCCTCACCAACGTCACAGCCAGGAATGTCAAATCTGTTTTTCACAACCTTGCTGTGACCTGGCTGAGCTTTTCCCAGGCAGTTCATCCCTTCCTTGTCCATCTGTTCATCCACTAAAATCCCATATTTAAATCCAGTTGCTTCTCCTGATGACAAGACCCTCCTACAGGCCAGGAGCATTTCCCAAGGGATGTTTAACCCAACAGCTCAAGGGCAAGACACTTCCCAAATGCAGGAAATAAAAGGAATGAAATCTAGGCAAGGGGAGACAGAAAAAGACCCCCAGCATGGAAAAATTCCCAGGGATGCTGGGTCTGCAGCTCTCCACCTTCAGAGCCTCAGCTGAACCGGAGGCTGGAAAGGGAGAAATATCCTCCCTTTTGCAAAAAATTAATTATTTTTTTCCCCTTTAACATGTGGCCCAGGAAAGCCAGAAAGAAACGACATTGGTGTATCTACCTTATCACATCTTCCAAATTTATGCCAGGGAAGATTATCCTGAGGATCAGCCCAACAGCCACGGCACAGGACAAGCTTTGGGAAGCACGAGCTCCGTGTCTGCTGTTCCATGTCGTCAGCACCAGATCCCAGGAACCTCCTGAGCACAGAAGGGCGATTTTTATCCCAGTACAAACAGTTCCAGGAGGCAGCCAGAGCCTTACTCAACCTTCAAATATGTTTTCCGTGATCGGTGCCTCTAAAGGCAGAAGGTGGAAAGGTCCTGCAGAGGCTGCATCCCGCTGGGATGTTTCCATGGAGCAGGAGATGAGTCAGTGCCATCTGCCGGCTGCTCCAAAATCCACCGGATTCGGCGTCAGATATTGGAGATAAAACCCAGGCTCTTACACACTTTCTCCCATGGTAACACTTCCAGCATGCCTCTGGAATGCTGCTTCCAATGCAAATTCCCCTTGGAGGTTCAGGCTCCAGATGGAATCCCTTTGGTGCATCCATGTGACCCAGTGGGACAATTCAGGCTGCAGATCCAGTGTTTCACAGCCCTTCTCCTTCCTGCCATTGGGATCTCCCTTCCCTGTCCCTGATAAAATCAAAAATAACTCTGGTGTAGGATGTGCTGGCTATGGAGTCCCTTGAGCTGGCCTGGATCCATGCTAAGAAAAGCTGTGGAAATGCCAAGGATTCCCAGTGCCATCGGCATTCCCAAGGGATTGGCTTCTACCTCAGCCTGGACCATTCCAAGGGTACCAAAGAGGCATCAAAGCCAGGATGAGACACCAGGCACTCCTGGCTATCCGTGTTGTTCCCTTCTGTTGGATCAGATTTAATTGGGGAACAGATTCTAAGTGTGCTTCTCCCCCTTTTTGACAGGAAAACACATCAACAGCTCTGTAATTATTCCCTAATTGTGTTTAGGTGCCTGAGGAAAATACACGACGCTTCCTCTGGGAGCAAGGAGAGATTTGCTCATCCTTGAAATGCTGATTATCCCCAAAGTTCCCTCCCAGCATTTCCAGGCTCTGGCAGGCTCAGAATGGCTGGAATTGGCAGGAACTCAGTGCTGCAGGGATGGCCCTGGGCTCCATTTGCTGTGGAGATCTCAGAGCTGAGGTGCTGTCAGGCTGTGTTTGGGATGTTGGTTGAGCCGAGTCCATCCAGCTGCTTTTGTCAGTCCCGGTAAAATCAGTGAACATCCAAGAGAGCCCCAGCTCCCAGAGAGGGATCCTGCCTTTCCCACTGAAATTGAGCATGGAAAGGAAGATTTCTCTGGAAAACTCCATGTGCAGAGGAAGCAGAATGGAGTAAGGGCAGCACATGGATCAGGATGCTGTGCATGGGCAGCAGCCATGCTTTGGGACAGCATTCCCACCTCTGGGCTCTTACCTGAGCACAGGCAGAGTGTTCCTTGATTATTTGGACTCAAAGGTAGCTTGTCCTCATCGTTGGAAGTGCACCAGGCAAAGAGACCATGGAAACAACATCCTCTGAAAGGTTTAGCTTCATGGAATATCCTGAGTTGGAAGGGACCCACAGGGATCATCCAGTCCAACTCCCGGCCCCGCCCAGGACACCACAACAGTCCCACCCTGTCCCTAAGAAGCTGCAAACCCTGATGAGTCTCCCCTCAGCCTCCTCTGAAATACAGTTCAAATTGCCCCAATTTATTTCTGACAAACCAGGTTATTTTTCCCTATTGGTGATGATTTGCTGTGTGAGCATCTGGTAGAAAACTGCCTTATGACTTTGCTAGATGCCGAAATCTGGGGGAGTTAGCTGCAATTCCTTAAAATATTCTGTTTTCCTTCAGCTTTTGTCCAATCTCTCCCCATTCCTGGTCTCCAGTCTCTCCCTATTCATGGTCTCCCGTGAGTGCGGAGCACCAAGTTACGGTGCTACTGACACTCTGAAGGCCAGAATTAAGGAGTATTTTTCCAGAAGGGCCTGGAATGGGTGACAACAACTCTGTATCCAACAGAAAAAAAGGCGTTTTTCCATGGAAACAAACATGGGAATAATCAGCTCTCCCCACGCGCCCGTCGCGTAGCAACGCGGACGCCTTGCCCTTATATGGCGAAAGTGCCCGCCCTCTCCCCAGCCTTCCTTTTTATTGGCTGCTCTGCATATGATTGACGTTCACTCTCACCAGTCACCGCCCTCACGAGCCTCTCCCGCGCCCGGGGTGCGGCACCACCCGGAAGACGCTGCAGGAAGGGGAGGGGAGAGCGTCCGCTGCGAGAGCCAATGGGAAGGGAGCAAGGGGGTCTGCTCAGCCCCAAAAATGGGGGAAAAAAAAAAAAAGGGGCGCGGGCGGTGCTTTGTGTGGCGGGCCCGCTGTAGCCGGGACCGGGCGCGGCGGGGGCAGTGGAGGTGACGGGGAAGACAAGGGGGATATGGGGGGACCCGGCCAGGGGAGGGACGGGGAACGGGGCAAGACCAGGGTCCCGGGAAGGGAGGACCCGCGGGGAATCTGAAGGGACCCGACCGGGCAGCAGCGGGAGCCCCGGGCAGGGAGGACCCGCGGGATCCCGGACAGGAGAGGGCTGAAGTGCCGGGTGGGACTGGGGGTCCTGGGCTTAGGGGAACCGGGGATCAGGGGGTTTAGGATGGGGAGGGATCACTGGGGGTGGGAGCGGTGCTAGAGGGGAACTGGGGGATGGGGGGACCTGGGGGTCTGCGGAGGGAGAGCCTTGGAGCCTCTGGCCTGGGGGGCCGGGGGACAGGGGGGAAGCTCCTTGATCCCTGCAGAGCCCCGAGCCCACCCTGCTCCCGGGCATCCCTGTCTCCTCGTGCTGCTGCTGTCACAGTAACGCACGGAGGATTCCACATGGATTCGCGTTCCGCTGGGAACTGCCCTGATGTGCCGTGGGGTGGCAGGGAAAGGGATAGGGATTCCTGGGACAACCAACCCCCCCATAGCTGTCACAAGCCCCGAGCACGTGTGCTCACATCAACCCTTCCCGGTGACACGGAGCGCTGGCTGAAGCTGTGTGTGTTCCCAGGTGGGAGCGGTGGGAAGGGAGATGCTCCCGGTGGCCGTGCTGGAGGCAGGATGAACCTCGTGGCGATGGCGACGGACCCGGAGCTGCAGTGGGTGACCCTGTGGGTGCGGGTGCGCTGGGCGGCCGTGCTCGTGCTGCTCCTCAGCTCCCTGGTGATGCTGCTGCTCCCCCTCGCTGCCGTGGAGAACCAGTGCCACGCCCTGCTCAGGGGGATCTCCTTCCTGAGGAGCAAACTGGGCCCCTCAGGAATGCCCAGGATCACGGGACAGAGCACGGAGCTGAGTGTCACCTCCCAGGGGCTGGAGCTGCTGGTGCTCAAGGGAAAAGCCTCCCCAGGTAAGGGGGTCCTGGGGGTGCAGGGGGACAGAGGAGCTCCTTAGTACAAGGGAGACAAGGAGCTGCTGGAGTGTCCAGGGGAGGCCATAGCAATGAGGGGTTTGGAGCATCTCTGTGGTGGGGAGAGACTGGGGAGCTGGGCCTGGTTAGTCTGGAGAAGAGAGGACTGAGAGAAGATCCCATCAATCCATACAAATATCTCCAAGGGGTGTCAGAGGATGGTGCCTGACTGTTCAGTGCTGCTAGTGACAGGATGAGGAGCAATGGCCATAAACTAAAACACAAGTTCCACCTCAACATGAGGAAGAACTCCTTTCCATGGAGGGTGGCAGAGCCCTGGAACAGCTGTCCAGGGAGGGTGTGAAGTTTCCCTCTCTGGAGACATTCCAAACCCACCTGGACATGTCCCTGTGTCACCTGCTCCAGGTGACCCTGCCTGGGCTGGGGGGTTGGACTGGATGATCTCCAGAGGTGCCTTCCCACCCCAGCTATTCTGTGAGTTGTTGTATAAAACAATCCCAACCTGGAGATCTCATCACCTACCTGGCCTTCTCCTGGAGCACATGATGGTAAGGAGCTCTCACTGCCACCTGCAGTGAACACCAGCTGGAAATGCCCCCGAGGTGGAGCAGGCCCTCAGCAGCTCCCTGACTACATTCCAGGGCCCTGTGCCAGCGTTCCCTCCTCGCCACTCTGTCTCTCTGAGGTTTTTCCTCATGTTTTCAGTACTAGTAAGTCCTGTGGAGGTAACCAGAACACAGAGAGGTGTTTTAATACACAGGAATCTGGGATATACAGTGTTAATCCTGAAATCCTGGCTGGCATGAAACAGCCTTTCAGGCAACAACAGGCTGCGGACATGGCCTTTATCAGCCAGGATGTTAATTTGGAAAACACGCAAAGGAATTATGATTCCAGCACTTTATCTTTGTTTATATTAAAGCTCTTACTGCTGGGAAAATGTTAGGTCAATGAACAAACAGAAGTGCTGGTAGCAGCCAACACAACAATGTGTTAGAATTTTACCTAAAATAACGCCAAGAGGAATGTATTTGACACATTGTGTCCTCCCACATGAAGCAGTTTGGTGGCCAAAGTGAGTTTGGCTGGGATGGCTACACACCTTTGGCCACCTTGAGCCAGCTGCTCACAGGTCCTGCCTCACCACACTTCCTACCAGGAATGGCTCTGCTACCTTGTGCTCAGCCTGGAAACGTGGCATAAACCTCTGTGATTGTAGCCTAGCAAAGACTGGAACACAAGTTCTGTTCCAGTTCTTAGAGGCTGGTTTTGTTTAACTTTTATATCAGTGAAGAGTGATGGTCATAGAATCATGGAATATCCTGAGTTGGAAGGGACCCACAAGGATCATGGAGACCAGATCTCTAGAAGTTTTCAGTCCAGATCAGTTTTCAGTCACACCCACCACCCTGTTCTCTAACCATTTTTGTTGCGTTCCAGAAGTGAAGTTGGAAGCCAGGGCAGCTCTGAACCAAGCCCTGGAGATGAAGCGCCAGGGGAAGCGGGAGAAGGCCCACAAGCTCTTCCTGTATGCCCTCAAAATGGACCCGGATTACGTGGACGCCCTGAACGAGTTTGGGATCTTTTCCGAAGAGGAGAAAGACATCCTCCAGGCCGACTACCTGTACTCCAAGGCACTGACCATCTCCCCCCACAACGAGAAGGCCCTGAGCAACCGGGGCCGGACGCTGCCGCTGGTGGAGGAGATCGACCAGAGGTACTTCAGCATCATCGACAGCAAGGTGAAGAAGGTGATGGCCATCCCCAAGGGCAACTCCGCCCTGCGCCGCGTCATGGAGGAGTCCTACTACCACCACATCTACCACACGGTGGCCATCGAGGGGAACACGCTGACGCTCTCCGAGATCCGGCACATCATCGAGACCAGGTACGCAG